GAAGAAATAAACAAGCATTTCTTAAAAAAGTATTTAAAATTTTTGATTCAGAACTTTAGGGCTCTCTTAACTGTTCCTCCAATGCCTTGGGTAGTGTAATTTATCCTACAGTACCTCTTTTATTTTGTGGAGGTGATTTAGTCAGTCTGTATGTGACAACAACAGGGCGTGTACAGAGAGTTCTGGTTTAAAATAAACAATATCAAATATATCACTACAGAACACTAAACTGAAGCTTTGGCTCCTTTTCCTTTAAATTTCTTTTTTAAAAAGAATTATTTATTCAATTGTGTTTGTTATTATTATCTTTTAATTTGACCAGAGAGAAGCAGAGAGAGAGGAAAAGGGGAAGTGAGAAAGCAAGCTGCCAGGTCCAGGACTCAAACTGCAGTTGGCCATGTGGGGAGTCCAGAGCCTTAACCACCACGTCACCTGGCAGCCCCTCCTTTAAATTTCTGTCAATGCTGAATTCGAGACGAAGGTATCTGAATGAGTCTCTTACTCAGTGAGTAAGCGTTGCCGTGGCGCAGCGCTCAGTGCAGTTTCATACGGAGATGGAGACCGCAGACAATGAAGGTCCGGAACAGCTGGAGAGCTCCCCTCCTTCGCGCAACCTGATGCCACAGCCTTATTACTTGCATAGGTACCTTTTATAGGTGAGAAACACAAAACTGCAGAGACTCACGGTCATCTTCATCTCTGTTTAATATGAGGAACTGGATTTGTGTCTCACGTCCTTTGACCACCAGATACAGAGAGTACTGAACCAGAGACAGGCCTGGGGGCGCGGGGACCTCAGGGTGGCGGCGGGCCAAGATGCAGGGCATCTGGGCTTGCACTAACCCTGTAACCGCCAGGACAGCCTGAGGTCTGTGAAGTCCCCTCCATCAGAGAAGAGTTCATGAGCGTTCCGTTCTGCCTGAGGGAAACTTGAGGACCGGGGGTGGGGGGGAAGGGGAAGGGCTGCAGAGCGAGAGCTCAGCTTGAGCCTAGAGAGACTGAGGCACAGCGCCGTGGGGGCAGTGCCACTGCCCCAGGAGGACTCTGGGGAGGGCTCAGGCAGCTGCACCTGCAGTCTGGAGCAGGCTGCATCACCTCTAGCTTTGTGCATGGTCTGAGCAAGCATGTTTGCAGATTCCTCACTGTTAAAGAAAATGTACCCCTGTGGACACATGAAAGAAAACGAGTAGGCAGTGGAGAGTGGGGATGAGAGGGCCGCTCCGTCCAGTTCTTCTAGCACTCAGCACTAGACAAGCTGTGTCTGTACCTTGCCTATCCATACCCACAGTTTTGGAGAAACAAAATATTTTTAAAAAGATGCTAACTTGTCAATATGCATATTTCCCCCTATTTCTTCCACCAATTCCCTAAACAAGGGAGACACACATCAATTGTAAAGATACAAATGAAGTCAAATTGCCTTTCAATATATGGGAATTGATTTGGGAAATTTTCTAGAAGAGTTTCGTTGGATCTATTTCACGCTGTGTACCTTGTGTATACACTGACAGATGGTGAGAAAGATGGACAAACACGTGCTTTTATTACTAAATCACAGCATTAAAGTGACTGTCATTTGCCATTTAAACACCTGATCAAATGTTACTAGAAACCAATGTTTCTTCCTAAGTTTTAACAAATAATAAAAGGTATTTGCTTTTGATCCTTGCTACTCACTTTTAGGAGATTTTTAACTCATGTGTGGCAAGGCATCATTTAACACAAAAGTCATTTTATTTTTATTTATTTATTTATTTATGAGAGGTTTTTGCTATAGGGCGCATGCACTCACCAGAAAGACAGACAGAAACCAAGAAACAGAAAGAGAGAAATCACCCCCCAGTGGGGATGGCCACGCCACAGTCCCTTTTCCTCCATTCTCCTCTTGGGATCTTGGGCACGCACGCACACACCCAGTGTGAGTTTAAGTGACTGGGTCTGGGATTCGAACCACGGCTGACTACATGGGAGCTGGGTGACATAGCCATTACACCAACTGCTGGTCCCACAAAAGTCATTGTGAACTATAAAAGCATAATCTTCCAGAGGAGGTTTAGAAAAAATGTTCACAAAATTCAGTTTTCTATTTAGTAGTTTATAAAATTTACATATGCTATTTAAGGAGGTGGTCATAAAACCACCCAGATTGTCATATATCAACTATTAGGTCCCCAAACCATACTGCATGCATAGTAGTAAAGGCGACCTGGGGAAAAACACATACTGACTGACACAGTATTTTTCACACAGTACAACCAAGAGGAAAAAGAAAGAAAAGTTTAACTTACACACTTCCTGTCATCCTGCTCTTCACATTTGTTTTTCTACATTGTCACTTTTTTCTTTTAGAAATTTTTGCTACAGGGCACTTGCACTCGCCGGAGAGACAGAGAGAGCTAGAGACAGAAAGCGAGAAATCCCCTGGGCGATGGCTACACCACAATCTCTTTGCCATTCTCCTCTGGGGATCTTGGGCACACATGCACAGGCACTTGGCATGAGTTTCAAGCTGCCAGGTCCGGCACTCGAGTCATGGCCGACTCCGTGGGAGTCCAGAAATGTAACCGTTCCGCCATCTGCTGACCCCACGTTTGCACATTTCTTACACACGTCATCAGTTTGAAGGGGTTGAAGAGGGGTTTCTCTTTGTTTTTCTTCTTAGTAATAAAGATTAAAATTGTCAAATTTTTGAATGAACAGCTTATTACTATTTAAAAAATTTTATTTGTTGTTATTAGTTTTAAATTTGCTATAGAACACATGCACTCCCCAGAGATACACAGAGACAGAGAGAGAGGGAAAGTGAGACAGCAAGCTGGCAGGTCTGGCACTCAAACAGCAGTCAGTCACGTGGGGGACCAGTGCCCTGACCACCATGCCACCTGCTGGCCCATCCTCCCACCTTTTAAAACACTTCCAAAACAAACAAATTCCAGGGTCATGGTGAGGGTTACATGAAGTAATGGAATTCTTCTAAGTTCTGGGTCTGGCCTGGGGAAGCTCTTAGTGCTAGATAATTGGTTTTTCTTTTGATCCACTGGTCCGACTCACCACACAGGCAGGTGTAACCGATGGTGAAAGCACGGAAATGGTAAGGACTGCTGCTTGCTGGGCACTGTGCACACTCCATGAACTTCCACGTCGCCAGGGTGACCAGCGCCACGTGAGCTAACACGACAAGCCACGAGAGGATGAGAGGACAGAGACGAGGGTGCCATGTACAGCAGGTTGCGGTGGAATTTAGAGAAGGTGTACCTTCACGCAATTGCTACGACCTACTGGGGTATTCTCTGAGGTGGCGGTTCTCAGAGCGTCTCCTCATGCCATCAGCACCGCCACCCCTGGGAACTTGTCGAAGTACAGGTTTCAACTGTCCCAGTCCAAACCCTCAGAATCAGAAATCTGGGCGTGGGGCCAGCACTCGGATTTAACCAGTCCTTGAGGCGACTCTCACGGACCCCAACGTTTTAAAACTATCAACTACTCCATTATTAAAACTCACTGTATTATCTCGAAGAGAAAGTATTAACTATTCCTTAAATTACAATTGGAAAAGTTAGATATATAAAGGTATACGAACATGGAAAGTTTGTTTTATTCCTACTAAGCATTCATTTCAACACAAGTGGTGTGGAGATAGGACGAATCCACCCTTCCATCGGCTTTCCGTTCGAAGTGACATGCTGCTCGGTTTGTGACATGTGAAATAAACTTAGACCTCATCATTCTAATTAGAAGCAAACCATCACGTGGGCAATTCATACAGAAATCATTATAAACACCAGGGGTCAAGAACCGCTTATGAAACAGCTCCAAGCTGCTTCTGGCTTCTTGGCCTGTGAAAGAAGGGGAATGAGGGAAAGCGATGACACGTAAGGTGTGGAGTGGGGCGGGCAGGCCTGCAGGCCTTGACCCGGGGGCAGTGGAAATCAACCCGCCATAGCACAGATGGGGCTTGCCTCATAATGCTGGTCTACACAAACTGGATTAAGATACCACCACCACCAAGAGTGGCTTTATCACTGATGGGAGAAAGAGGCCAGAGGCCAACCAATGAAGACCTCAGGTGTCCGCTGAGGCCGGTGCAATTGCGTTACAAGGACGACACGTGGAACTGAGCTAGAGCGCAAAGTACATACAGATGTGGAACGACATCTGTCCACAGGCCTCCAGAGCTTTTACCAGGCCTGGCACTAACTAGCTTCTGAAAATGAGTAAGCCACATATGAGGGACTTAAAAAAAAAAATATATTTTTTTTTTGGTGCAAAACAATGTGAAATCTATGCATTGTTTTTCCTAATGCATATTTTCAATGAACTTTTAAAAGTCCCCCCCCCCCATATAACCTCTATGGTTCTCAGTTTCTTTACTTGTAAAGTGACGTGACTGGACCATATGATCTTTTAAGTCTGCTCCAGTCTTACAATCATACAACTTTTGGGCCGGCAGGTGGTGGTTAAGGGTGCCAGATTCCCACACGGCTGACCATGGTTCAAGTCTTGGACCTGGCAGCTTGCTTTCTCACTTTCTCTCTCTCTACCTCGCTCACTCTGCCCCTCTCTGGTCAAATTAAAATAAATAAAGTTAAATAAACTAAAAAAAAAAAAAAGATCTTACAACTTTTATAAAGCCAAAAAGTCTTGCTTTGTACTTAAACTTGTACCATTAAATATCACGGGATGAGTAGCCAAACTTAACATACTTCATTAGGACTACGACCCAAAAGGAATCAGTCATTATTTTCACACAGCTAGAGCAAAAATCAGACAACCACGCTTCACAGTGTGATGTGGACATTCTCTGGACCTGGAACTGCCCCTCTGTTGAACTTCACCCGATCTACAAGAAAGCATGTTCCCCCTCCGTATTGGCTGTTACATGTTGGGGAGATTTAATAGCCCCTGAAAGCATTTGTAAGGAGACGCACAGGTAAGTAAGCTCACATAAGCGTGCACACTTAAAGCACAGCAGGCGTGTAAGATGGGAAGCGAAGACTGACCTCTTTCCTGTGGCATTGGTGACTGGCTCAAGGCAGGATGGGAACTGGATTCTGACTGGCTCCCAGGTGGCTGAGGGGGCATCTGACTGCCTGTAAAACACAGGAGGAAAAGTGGGGAGGGCACCCTTTGCATTAAAACAGCAATCGTGCAAAACCAAGACAGCTACATTTATTTTTTATGATCACAAAGTATATGGCCCCACATAGCTCAAAGTTATAGTTCATCTTTTCCTGTAAAACAGAGAGGAAACATGAATAAGACCTAGAGAAAGACCTGCTAAAAAGTTTAATGTGTTACTGAGCTCTCAGACTCATAGAGGAATCAGTCTGGGTTGAAATCAGATACACATAAATAAAGTTAAATAAACTAAAAAAAAAAAAAAAGATCTTACAACTTTTATAAGCCAAAAAGTCTTGCTTTGTACTTAAACTTGTACCATTAAATATCACGGGATGAGTAGCCAAACTTAACATACTTCATTAGGACTACGACCCAAAAGGAATCAGTCATTATTTTCACACAGCTAGAGCAAAAATCAGACAACCACGCTTCACAGTGTGATGTGGACATTCTCTGGACCTGGAACTGCCCCTCTGTTGAACTTCACCCGATCTACAAGAAAGCATGTTCCCCCTCCGTATTGGCTGTTACATGTTGGGGAGATTTAATAGCCCCTGAAAGCATTTGTAAGGAGACGCACAGGTAAGTAAGCTCACATAAGCGTGCACACTTAAAGCACAGCAGGCGTGTAAGATGGGAAGCGAAGACTGACCTCTTTCCTGTGGCATTGGTGACTGGCTCAAGGCAGGATGGGAACTGGATTCTGACTGGCTCCCAGGTGGCTGAGGGGGCATCTGACTGCCTGTAAAACACAGGAGGAAAAGTGGGGAGGGCACCCTTTGCATTAAAACAGCAATCGTGCAAAACCAAGACAGCTACATTTATTTTTTATGATCACAAAGTATATGGCCCCACATAGCTCAAAGTTATAGTTCATCTTTTCCTGTAAAACAGAGAGGAAACATGAATAAGACCTAGAGAAAGACCTGCTAAAAAGTTTAATGTGTTACTGAGCTCTCAGACTCATAGAGGAATCAGTCTGGGTTGAAATCAGATACACCTTGAATAACTTAACAGAGTCCAAGACTGGCCGCAGTCCTCCTCCTGAGTGTAAACTGGTCTCCGGGCAGGCAGGACTGCGGGATGGCTGACACTCGCCCTTCAGCAGTACCTAATTGATAAGGTAATGCCAGCAGATGGCTAAAACATTTTTAGAATTACTCAGCCAGAGATTTAACACAAACTTAAGAAATATAAAACATACTATTGTAACATGCAGTAAAGGCCCAGCCCATGGCAGTCTGTGCAGACGCTGCTACGCGGGAGGCCGAGGCCACACGGCAGGCCCTGTGCTAAGTGTCTGTGGTCTGAGCTACATTGGAGGTGAGGCAGGAGGTCGTGACATAGTAAGACCCTGTATGAAAAACAGAAAGGAAGGGAAAGGAAGTCGTGCATGTGATCAGTAAAGAAGGAATGGTTATTCTGAACCTCTTTTGATCTTTACTAATACAGCAATTGCATCTATTTAATTTGTATTTATTTACTGTTTAGTTTGTCTTTTCCAAGTACAATGTAAGCTTCTTGAGACAGGAAGAGAGCCTTTCACTCCCTCCCTTTGCATAACAAATATCTAATAAATCATAACCTGAGGGTATGAATTATGAATGAAAGGAGGAGACACTTTATTGATAAGAGAGACAATGAATCATGAGAGGGCAGGAGATGCGGTTTTGAAATTTAAAAATCACTACAGGTAGTTGACATTGCAACTCACTGACTCAGAGGCTGATACATTTTCAAGACTAAAAACATAGCAATTAGAAAGGAGTGAAATTTGGCACAATCCCCAAGGTACTAGCTCTCTAGACATAGGGACCACGTTATTTTGTCGTCTACCGCCCTGCTCTTTGCTACAATAAATGGGAAGAAACAAACACGCATCTGCATAGCTTTCTGGGGCGGGCCGTCACGTGGTCACACCAGTCAGCGACTGCTGACTGCCACAGGACCACTCCTCCAGGAATGACCTCGGCTGAACCGAACGCTGAAGTGAACCACACGGAGCAGGGCAGATCTGGCACCCTGAAGCTCACCCCCATACACCCCGTGCCGTCATGAGGACACAGAGTGGGGGGTTTCCAGGGAACCACACCCTTCTCCCTCTAGTGGGCAATGAAGTGGGGTACCTGTTAGGCCACGTGGCCATCAGACCTGGGAGAGCTGGTCCCGGGGACGGGCAGGACTGTCACGTATTACTAACTGGAATAATGGTTGTATCTGTGACAGGCAGAGAGGCCGGGCTATAATCTTCAGTTCAGGTAATTGTCTAAACCCGCTGTTAAAATATTACTATAAAAGAATTCGCAAATTGTTTTCAGGCGCTTAGGCTTCTTTAGGGAAGAACGTCGTGTTTAATTGCCACTCCCATTCCCGGAAAAAGGGAAAACCAAAGACCCGAATCCTCAGACGGTGAGAAGCATGCGCAGTGAAAGCCCAGGAGCTGCTCTTCACTACGGCTGTAATGAACGGGGTCGAAGGCCCAGCCAGACAGCACAGAATGAGTCTCTCCACTCATTTAGTCAGAGACATTGTAGCAAATTAGTATTAGTACCAAATTACTAAATGTAAAGAAACTCTTTTAACATTCTGGACTGACAACAACTTCCCTGACTTGGCTACAGAGCTACAAACACTGCTGTGTGTCCACGGCAGGTCACGTGCTATCGATGAGACCCCCTGAGGCACCCCGCCCACAGTCCATTTAGAAATGTAAAGTACTGTACAGTCAAATACTGCCTTTGTAAAATGTCACTGGGGAGTCAGCTGCAGTAAGACAGGAAGTGCCTACATTCTAATGATCACTTCTGCATGACAGCCCAGATTCAGAGACTCGTGACAGTAAAAACAAACAGTAATTCTACGTTAGCACAGGGCACCTCGGCCTCCACTGTGCATGCCCGAGGCACTGTTCTTACATACAGTATTTCAAGGGAAAATAAAACGGGCTTTAAGAGACTCATCCCATGACTCATAAAATACTGCCATGCGAAGCAGTACGACTGATACTCTGGTGCAATTCTAACAGACACACTTTTAAAGCAAGGAGGAAATTCATGTATTAAATCTGTCCTGTTAAAGAAACCAGTCACTCATGAGAAAGATGGATTTGCCCAATCATTTTAATTACTCGTTTTCTTTGACCCCTTGTTTCTTACCCCGTAGAAACTATTTTCACCAAGACCAAGTCATAATTACGATGATTTCGTAACTACAGTTACCAAGGAATAACTTCATCTTCAGCGAGCACAGGAATGAAACTCAGTCATGGCAGATGAGAACTCGGACAACACGGCTGAGAGAGGTAATACAGAAAACTCCTTTGTGGGGACCAGCAGATGGTGTAATGGGTATGTGGCTGGACTCCCATGTAGCTGACTGCAGTTTGAGTCCTGGACCTGGAGGCTTAAAACACTGAGCACAAATGTGTGTGTGTGCCCAAGATCCCAAGAGGAGAATGGAGGAGAAGGGACTGCGGTGTGGCCATCCCTGCTGGGGGATGATTTCTCACTTTCTGTCTCTCTGTCTCTCTAGTGAGCACATGAGCCCTATAGCAAAAATCTCTCTTAAAAACAACAACAACAAAAACCCCCCAAAACAAAAAGCAGTAACAACAACAAAAAGAACTCCTTTGTGTGCATGGCTTTACGAAGAAGATCCAGAGTCCCCTGAACATGCGAATTAGGTAAACGCCTTCAAAACCACAGATCGAATACTTCATAGGTTTGGTAATTTATTTTTAACGCGTATATTACTACGCATAGTGAACAAACCAACTTCATGAGAAAACTTTAACGTGAAAAATGAAAATTTTTAAAGACCTGTGTTTTCCCTTATTTATGTCTATAATGACATTTGCACAAGGGGAGAGAAATCCACCTGGAAGACACTACACTGTAAATGAGAATAAATCCCACCATTTTATACCTATGTATTTATTCTCCAGTGATCGAATGTACTATGTTGTGTAAAATTTTGGTGCAACAATCTAAAATGAGGCATCGATAAGTCACCTAAACTCTATTTTTGCTTACTTAAAAATCTTCGCCTAAGTTTACACTATTACTTTATTTTCATTAATTTCAGTGACAGAAACATTGCAAAAGTGGTACAGGAATTCCCTTTACCCCTCTGCCCACCTTCCCTAATGTTAACCTCTTATAGAACCATATAATTATCTAGAAGAAGAAATTAATTAAAGACCTTATTTGAATTCTATCATTTTTTCCACTTAACATCTTTTTCCTGGGATCATCCCACATTGGATTTAGGCATTTCTCCTGAGCTGCTAGTCTTTAAGCTCCACAGTCTTCTTGTACTTTAGGATCTTAAGGCTTGTGAAGAGTACTGATTAGTCATTTGTAGAATGCTTCCAAATTTGGTTTGGTCTGATTTTTTTTTTCATCATTGAAATGAGGTCATGCATTTTGGGACATGAACCACAAAATTGTCAAGCCCTTGGGGCCAGCAGATGGTGTGGTGGTTAAGGCATGGGACTCCCACATGGGTGACTGCGGTTGAGTCCTGGATCTGGCAGCCTGAAAAATTATGCTGGGCACAGATATGTGCATGTCCAAAATCTTAGGAAGAAATGGGGGAGAAAGGATTGCAGTGTGGCCATCCTCTCTGGGGGGTGATTTCTCACTTTCCCTCTTACTGTTTCTGTCTCTGGTGAGTACAAGCACATTTATGGCAAAAAACGAAAACAAAATGTCAAGCCCTTCTCAGTTCATTCTATCATGGGATTCTGTTTTCCCCTAACTACTTTGTGAAGCTGGTGTCTACCAACTTCCCCTACTTTATTATTTATTTTTTAAGGAAGTATTTTATTTTGTTATTGTTATTTGTTTAATTTGACCAGAAAGAGAGAGAGAGAGAGAGAGAGAGAGAGAGAGAGAGAGAGAGAGAGAGAGAGAAAGGCAGAGAGAGAAAGCGAGCTGCAAGCTGCCAGGTCCAGGACTTGAACCATGGTCTGCCCTCTGGCAGTCTAGCGTCTTAACTACATGCCACATTACTACTTCACCCTCTGTCACTAACAAACTTCTTAAGGGCGATATTTGAGACGATGGCTGTGTGTCTCATTAAACTTTCACCCGTTAATTTCAGTGTCCATTAGAAGGTGTTTGCAACATGCATTACAGTATTGTTTGTCAACAGTGAGTGATTCTGTATTTCTTTTTTCCTTCCACATTTATTAAGTGGAATTCTATTCTGAGAAAGATACATCACTTCTCACCCATTTGTTTATGTATTTATTAGACTATTTATAGTTGTGTAGGTTCTGTGGCAGACATCCATTGGATGATCTCCAACGATTCACACCCTTACGTGGTCTTCTTTCTTTGATTTTGGACAAAACTTATGACTTGTTTTTTCTTTTTATTTATTTATTTTTTAAGGGTTTTGCCATAGGGCTCATGCACTTGCCAAGAGGACACACAGAGAGGGAAAGTGAAAAATTACCCCCAGTGGAGATGGCCATAATGCAATCACTTCTCCTCCTGGAATTTTGGGTGTGCACACATATGCAGCTGGCATGATTTTTCAAACCCCCAGGTCTAGGACTCAAACCACAGAGCCATGTGAGAATCCAGTGCCTTAACCACCATGTCACTTGCCAGCCCCATGACTTGGTTTCTAGCCAAAGAACATAACAAGAGTGGGACTGGGAGGTGGTGTGGTGGTTTAGGCACTGGACTATCACATGGCCGACTGTGGTTTGAGTCCTGGACCTAGTGGCTTGCT